AAAAAAAAAAAAAAGATGGAATTGCTATTTTAATCCTAAACTTACTGACTAATGACTGTCTTATGATTTAACTGTAGTCCCAACTGTTACTGTAGAGTATAGGCATTGAGTAATTATTTGATACATTCCCCTTACCCGATGTAGATTTCCTGATTATTGTTTGGATTAATACTTTCCAACTTAAAAAAGGTAGAAGCATGCTAATGTTTCTTATAGCTTTTTCTGTATGTCACAGTGACAGAGTGGCAACATTGTTTGCTAGAATTTATTCAGTTATGTCTGGTTAAGTGAAGAGCTACTTCTTCCGTTACTACTGTATAAATGGGTCATTCCTACAGTTGTAGTTGGATGGCTTTGCACCAGCAGTTCTCAACCTATGGGTTGTGACCCCTTTGGGGGTTGAACAACCCTTTCACAGGAGTTGCCTAAGACCATCGGAAAACACATACTTTTGAAAACACATACTTTTGCACATTTTGCATATTTTATGGTTGGGGGTCACCACAACATGAGGAACTATATTAAAGGGTCGCGGCATTAGGAAGGTTGAGAACCACTGCTATGCACAGTAATGTTTTCTTTGGTTGGGAGGAATGCTCATGTTTGCATACCCTGCTATAAATATGTTTTCTCTTTCTCTAAAGTGATATATGGCCAAATTTTTTTTTAATTAGCTGAGAATTAAGTCATTTTAGTTTTAGAGAATGTTAGGATCCCCTCAAAGACAGAAGACATACCAGATAAAGCCAAAAAAGGGACTAGGAACTACCGATTGTAATGTTAGTACCTGATAAACATATTTAAACATTTTAAATTTTAACAGAAGAAATGCCTCAGATTGAAACGAGAGTGATATTGGTTCAAGAAGCTGGAAAACAAGAAGAACTTATAAAAGCCCTAAAGGTATAGAGTTTTAATTTTTCATTTTTTTAAAAGAGCTGTTTTTCTTCCATCACTACATATAGTTTCATAGCTTTCTTAATCTCATACTTAAGTCTCTTTTCCACAGACTATTAAAATAATGGAAGTCCCTGTTATAAAGATAAAGGAAAGTTGTCCTGGAAAATCGGATGAAAAATTAATAAAAAGTATTGTTAATATGGTAGGTCACAAACCTCATTGCATGCGGCATGTTGCACTTCCCTGGATCCCGTAGTATTCCACTTTATGGTGGTTGGAATTAGCACAAGTTGTATTCTGTGCACTCTGAAGCTTGTTAAATAGAAACTATTTTATACTTACTTTTTAAATTTGGATGTTTCTGAAACTCAAAACCATAGCATGTGTTCTAAATGCCAAATTTCTTTATAAGGACTTCATTGTTAAATTTAAATGATGTAAAATTTACAGAGATCTGATAATTCTCTTTAAACTCTTTCGTTCTTTTTTCTTAATACTTTAGTCTAAATTCTTGGTGTATTTCCAAAATTATAAATCGTAATAACTGCCAATCATCTGGGAGTTTGCCTTCTTAAAATATGAAATATATACAGTTCTCTAATTTAGCTATTTTAGTGTAGCAAAAAACCCATAAATACCACATACTGGGTAGCTTAAACAATAGAAATTCATTTCTCATAGTTTTGGACACTAGAAGAGTAAGATTAAGGTGTTAGCAGGTTTATTTTTTCTTAAGGCCTCTCCTAGGCCTGCAGAGGTCTTCCTTCCTGCCTCCTCACCTGACTTTTCTTCTGTGTGTGCAAATTCTTATCTGGGCTCCTTTAGTCCCAGCTACTTGAGAGGCTGAGGCTGGAGGATTGCTTGAGCCTAGCAGTTTGAGGCTGCAGTGAACTATAATTATGCCCCTGCACTCCAGATAACAGAGTGAGACTCTAAAAAAAAAGGAAAAAATCTCTAAAAAAAGGAAAACAAACTAACATTCAGGAGGAAAAAAATCCCTTATAATGATACCAGATTGGATTAGGGCCCACCCAATGACCTCATTTAATCTTATCTCTTTAAAACCCTATTTTCAAGTATAGTCATATTCTAAGGGCTTTGTTTATTTTAGGTTATGACATCAACATGAATTTTAGGAGCACATAATTCAGACCCAGCATATCAGCTTTGCATATAAAAGCCCAAATAATTTATTGATCTATTCTGAGTTTTCTCTTAAATGGTTGTTATTTTCACTTAGGAGTTACATAGGCTTAGGCATAGGTGAAGTTAAGTATCTTCCTTCTTTCTCATAGAGGGGTGAGGAACCTGTACCCTTCTGATTTCAAGATTGTTCTTTTTTAAGCCCCAAAGGAGACAAGAAAATCGTCATCTTTCTGTGTTGCATCCCTTTCAGTAAAAGGGTTCATTCTGTAAAATCTGGATTCAAATGGCTGCACTTACGTGGCCTTACAGCTACAGGTTCCCTACCCTAGCGTAGTAACTTGCCTTTTTATATCTATATTAGCTGTGCTGCAAATTGCATATGTATGTCATATCTTTCTCCTTTTTCCTAGTTATCTATTGAAATTATGCTAATCTTCCTTTTTGTAAATATTAAGTGCTTTAATATTTTCTCATTTTTCTGAATAATTAATTTGTGCAAGAAGAACTATGTGTATGGTATTGTTTTCCAGGTTAGAATAAAAAGAAATAGTGGATATCTTTCTAATGCATCCTAGTATAAAAATTCATATACTTAAAAGACTTCATTTGAATTTTATGGAACTTACCGACAATTTATAATGACTATTAATAAGTCAGAAGCTTATTTTTTCATAATATTGATCTTTAAAGTTTTAGATCATAATTTGAATGGAGATAAGTATGAGTAAAATGCAAGTTAAGTAAAGAAGTGTGGTTGTTCACTATTAAGTGTAAGTATTGTATGATTTAAAACTTAAGTTTTCTATAAATATAAAAATAAAAATGTTAAATATATTTATTGAATTGATTTTTAGGCCTTATTTAGAGTAATGAATTACTTTATATGATATATAAATAATTTTTATTTCTAATAACTATATTAAAAAATCAAGGAAATTAAAGCACACTTTGTAAAGATGGAGTCAATGGAAGAATTTGAAGGTTTGGATTCTCCAGAATTTGAAAATGTATTCATAGTCATGGACTTCCAGGATTCTGTTTTTAATGACTTATACAAGACTGATTGTAGAGTTATTGGACCACCAGTTGTTTTACAATGTTCACAAAAAGGAGAGGTAAGAAATAATACACAATGTATTATGACTTTTTAAGGTTAAATATTAATTTTAATTAGAAAATATATAAGTAGAAAAATCCCATTAATTGTTGAAAGTATGAAATATTTAGAATAGGAATATTAATATTCTTCCTATTGCATACTTTGGTAATGAAAAGCTAAGGCCTTTCAAGGTTAAATAATGACAACTGTATGTATGTATATATACAGATACAGTCTTAATACTGCAATGTCATAAAAGAGATAATTTGCTTAAACTGAGGTTCCAGGAATGTGAACACATACATAAACTTTTATGTTCCTATACACAGAGCAGATATCATGTTTCCATTTGTGACAGCTATTACTGCATGATTAGGAAATTTATTTTAGCTTTTTGTTTTTAAATAGCATTTCAATACAAGAGTTGTAGCAGAGTTACTTCCCATTTGGTTTTGTTGCTTTGTTCTCCATTTTTAAAGTTGCCTTAGTCACTTGAAATTGCTTAGGTTATTGTGCTTCTCTCGTAGATGCCAGTAATAAGTGCCTGATAACCTTTAATTCTCTAATGTTTTGATTCAGAGGTGTTGTTTTCAAAAAGCAAATTAACTTTTCAGAGATCAAAATTATGAAAAAGTCTTCTTGAATAAGGGTGGGAATAGATATGTTCTTTTATTATTGTTTTTTAAACCATTTTCTTTCTGTTATTTGGGTAAAATATTTACTGAATTTCTCATTTTTTTTAGTTTAAAAACTGGACTCATTTGGGTTAAGTATGTGTGATATAGTTACCTAATGCTTATTACATGATTCCTTTAACCTGTTTTAATAACTTTAATTGGGATTATTTATGGTAATGTATAGAGTCCAAAATCTTTGCTTATGGATAATACTTCATATGTGTCAATATGTTTTCAAAGAAAAAGTTTGGATATAAATATAGTCTTTGTTTAATTTCCTGATAGTACAGTATATTTAGATTATGTTAAGTATGATTTGAGAATCAGGGGAATTTTTAAAACTGATACTTACAGTCTGTTTTTTTGTTATTTTTTGTTGAATTGTGAAAAATGTTGGCTCATGCCTAGCACTTTGGGAGGATTGCTTGAGGCCAGGAGTTAAAGACCAGTGTAGGCAACATAGCAAGACCTCAGTCTCTACAAAAAAGTTTAAAAAACCAGAGAGGCACGGTAGCATGTGCCTGTAGTCTCAGTTACTCAGGAGAGTGAGCTAGGAGCATTGCTTGAGCCTAGAGTTTGAAATTGCAGTGAGTTATGATCAAGCCACTCTACTCCAACCTGGGCAACAGAATGAGACCTTGTCTTCAAAGAAAGAAAGGATAAGGAAAAATGCCAGATAATCTTTGGACTGGGAAAGTTGATTGGCAAGAGGGCAAAATGTCATTAGATTGAGAAAGTTGCATTGTATTTTCTACTAAAAAGAAAGCTCACAGATTTAAAATTGTTGTATCCTCAGCCTTTGCCATTTTCATGTCGCCCATTGTATTGTACAAGTATGATGAATCTAGTACTGTGCTTTACTGGATTCAGAAAGAAAGAAGAACTAGTAAGTATTATAAAACAAATTCCATTAAAAAAATACTTTAGGAAAATAAATTTGAATTAGCTTTTTCCCTTTTTTATTATCATGGTTTTACTTCAAAGATATTAAAGAAGAAAATACTATTACTATACTAGGGTTTAAATTTTGTGAAGAAACCAATTCCGAAGATTCCTGTAAAGAAACAAATGTTTTGTCTAGAATGACTGATAGGAATTAGCACCAAAGTTTCATAACTCTCTGTTCTGCTTAACTGTCTTGTTAAGTATCATATCAGCTACACTGGTTATTTGAAGTTTTGTTTATACACTGCAGTTTTTTGTTATACAAGTCTATCTTCAAAGTTATTCTTACTACCTTAGAGAATTCAGAAAGTTGATTCTTTGGTTCACAGCTAATGGGTGTTTGAGCTAATGGGTCTTATTCTAATTTTTTGGGAAGAATCTTGATGTGCTGTGACCTACTGTTAAAAAAACCTCAAAACCCAATATATTTAGGCAGTATGGTATTTAAATAAGCAGCAGTAGATTTAAGCAGTATGAAAACCAGTTGTTTAATTGGTTAGTTTTCTGTGATGATCTTTACTAAGCTCATCTCTGTATAACTTTGCTCCTGCCAGTAGACAATTCTTTTTTTAATGCTTTTTTGGACACAGAGTTTAATCTCTATAAAATTCTTGTATGCATCTTATAAACAGAAAGTGTTTACTAAATGCTAAATGAATGATAACATAGTTTAAAATTTTATTCAAATTAATCATAAAGTCAATGTTGCTTAATTTTTCTTTTGAGGTCAGATTGGTAACATTGGTCCATCACATGGGTGGGGTAATTCGAAGAGACTTCAATTCAAAAGTTACGCATTTGGTGGCAAATTGTACCCAAGGAGAAAAATTCAGGGTATGTAAACATGGGTATTTTTGTATATTTCAATACAGCATTATTTTTGGATGACTTTAATAATAGCACTCTTCTATTTCTTCCACAATTTATTGGGGATAGAAATTCAATTTTTGCTATGAATATATTCACTAAAAATACTGATTCATAAGAATGGTTAAGTTTTAAGAAGGCAGTGGAACTTGAGTTAGGTGTTGAAAGATGAGTAGGATTGGGGGGGTGGGTAGATGGTAACATGGTAGGAAGTGTGAGAGCAGATATTTCACTCCTGTCTAAGTGGTCTTTATTTATTTTTTTCCCCATAGAGACTCACTAGCAAAATATCACCAGTAAAGACACACTAGTCTTTATAAAAACAGCTCTGTTCTTAATAAATGGTTCTAAGGTTTAGCTTGTCAAAATTATAAAAGAACAGGAGAAAGTATTTTATTAGCAATGAAATTTTCATTTAAGATTGTAATTGAGGTGGCGCCTGTGGCTCAGTGAGTACGGTGCTGGCCTCGTAATATTGGGGGTGGCTGGTTTAAACCTGGCCCTGGCCAAACTAACAACAACAACAACAACAACAAAAGATTGTAATTGAATATTTAAGTAAAAGTTTGACATTTGTTCTTACCCTTCCTTGGTGTGTTTATGAAGCAAATGGTAATTTTTGAGTATTCTTGAATTTTCCCTAAACTTTACAACTCATATTTAAGGTGTTAGTGACTCAGTCAGCTGTTTTCTTGTGTAGTCAGTATTTCTTGGGAGTCAGTATTTCTAAGGAAACAAATGTGAAGAAAGGAGAAATAGAAATTTAATAAGATGAACTGGAAATCAACTCAGAGATACTTTATTTAAAATAAAATAAAGAAATAGTTTGGACTCCTTGGAACTTGTTTAAAGTTATTTTGATCTAAGTTATATGATTGAAAGGCGGTTTTTCCCTCTTAGTTTTCATTTATATTTTGTTAACAAAGTGGATGAATGGCAGCCTAACTGAGCAAAAAAGAATGTATGTAATTGTTTAAACCTTCCTTGAATGCAGTTATTTAAGGAGAAATTCATTGTCATTAATGTTTATATGTTTAGGTTGCTGTAAGTCTGGGTACTCCAATTATGAAGCCAGAATGGATTTATAAAGCTTGGGAAAGGCGGAATGAACAGTAAGTACATAGGAGTTTAGTAGTTCATTGTAAATTAAAGATATGTTTTAAGGATAAATCAGTGAGCTGAAAAAAACTAAATTCATAGATAATATAGAAAAATGAATTCGAAATCTAGGGAAAACAAAGTTATTTAAAAAATAATAAGAAACCTGAAAAGATATCTATGCTATCTTTAGATTTTACCTTGTGAAATAATTTTGATTATCAAAAACATTCTAAAATTATTAGGTAATAGTTTAATGAATCTGAGTATTTGGCTTGTGTATATTTTGTGTGTGTCTGAGTATATTTTAATTAGGGCTTGCAATTCATTACTTTGTTTTGTTTAAATTTCCAATTTCATAATTTCTTGCAGTGGAACTTCATCATTACTTAAGATTCCTGAAACTAGAGAACCCCTGGAATACAGTTCACATAAAATTTCAAATATAGAACAAGGATTTGAATCTCTTGTATAGGTTATCTGTGATCACATTTTTTTCAGAAGTTACTTCTAGGTGGACTGAAGATACATCCCAGTATTTTTTTTTTTTTTTTTAACTGAAAGTCTTCTGAACATTTCAGGATCAGGTGTAGAATACTTTGATTAAATAGATTATGCTAAGACCTTGAAAATTACTGCAGATTTTCAAATTGATATGCCTACCTTTTGAACTTAAGTTGATTCTAGAAGAGTGTATTTTGTTTTCAGGGATTTCTGTGCAGCTGATGATGACTTTAGAAATGAATTTAAAGTTCCTCCATTTCAAGATTGTGTTTTAAGTTTCCTCGGATTTTCCGATGAAGAGAAAAGCAATATGGAAGAAATGACAAAAATGCAAGGTAAAACTTGACATATTTAGAAGTTTTGTGTATATATTTTATTCTTGCTTAACACTTTCTAGTGAGTATGCCCCTTTAAAAATTGGAGTTTGGCATAAGTAGCTTGGCATCCTGATTCTTGTTTGCATTCCTCTTCAGGAGGTAACTACTTACCAGTTGGAGATGAAAGATGCACTCACCTTATAGTTGAAGAGAATATAGTAAAAGAACTTCCCTTTGAACCTTCTAAGAAACTTTATGTTGTCAAGCAAGAGGTAAGTAATTCTTGAATGAAATTGGTTTTTTAAAACATAACTTATGACTTCTCTGATGAGGTAAATTTAAACTATTTATTTAAATGTTTTTTTCTCTTACCTAGTGGTTTTGGGGAAGCATTCAAATGGATGCCCGAGCTGGAGAAACTATGTATTTATATGAAAAGGTATGGTTTTTGTCCCTTAGTCATTTATTCTGTGAACTTGATCGTATAGAATATAATTAATATACATATCATCTTTTCCGTGATGTTTAGGAGTTTTAAATAATTAAACAATTGGATGCTGAATAATAGTCTATGTAGATTTAAGTGGAACTACTCAATGTAATGTATATTATTGTGAACTAATGTATGTTGTTCTGTGTTAATTCTTGGTAATAACATTATAAACAATAACATCTCTATCTTCAGAAACTTAGATCCTGAAGGAAAAGATAGATTTGCAAAGTTAGAGTGTGGAACAATGTGCGCTACAGTTGAGGAATGTATTCTAGGTAGCCTCACTCTTTCTCAGATGCTCAGTCAGGACTGGAAAAAGCAAATAAATGTTGAGCCAACTTGCTAGGCTAGGTAAAGATAATGCAGTTAGAACAGCAGATGGGAGAGGGTGTGAAAGCTTGAGAATGTGTTAAAATATTAAGTAATTTAGTATGGCTTTTAAAAGGTACGAGAAAGAAGGACAACAGATAAAACTTAATAAATAGGTGTAATCAAGAAGTTGTTCATGGCTCCGCACCTGTGGCTCAAGTGGCTAAGGCGCCAGTCACATACACCTAAGGTGGTGGGTTCAAATCCAGCCCCGGCCCGCCCAACCAACATTGAGGGCTGCAACCAAAAAATAGCCGAGCGATGTGGCAGGCGCCTGTGGTCCCAGCTACTTGGGAGGCTGAGGCAGGAGACTCGCTTGAGCCCAGGAGTTGGAGGTTGCTGTGAGCTGTGATGCCATTGCACTCCGCCCAGGGTGATAGCTTGAGGCTCTGTCTCAAAAAAAGAAGAAGTTGTTCATGTGTTAATGAGTTTGGATATTAATCCTAGAAGTATTGGCAACCATCAAAGAATAGTAAGGAGAGACTGTCATTAAAAAGATGACTTAAATGGTAGAATGAGGCAAGGAAAATCCAGCACTTATGAGGGCACGTAGTAAAGAGTGTTATCACTTACCAAAGTGGCTTCAAGATATAGAAGCAGGCTTTAAGAAGTTTACTTCAATTTGGGATTTAATAGTTTTGAATGGAATATTGAAGATGATGATTTATTGTTTCTATAAAATCTATATAGGGCCATATTATGCTCTCTTTAGACTCTTCTAAATGTAAACTTTTTTTTTTTTTTTTGAGACAGCAGTCACTCTATTGTCCCGACTAGAGAGCTCTGTGTCAGCCTAGCTCACAGCAACCTCAGATTCCTGGGTTTAAGCAGTCCTGCTTCAGCCTCCTAAGTAGTTGGGACCATAGGCACCTACCACAACACCTGGTTAATTCTTATATTTTTTAGTATAGATGGGGTCTTACTCTTGCTTAGGCTGGTCTGGAACTCCTTAGCTTAAGTGATTCTCTAACCTTGGACTCCCAGAATGGAATAAGCCCCTAAACCCAGACAAAATGTAAAATTCTTAACATAAGTTTAAAAAGTATATTTTAGGTTTTGGGAGAGAACCTTTAAAAATCAAGTGTTGTTAGCAAATACTGGAGAGTACCGTGTCCAGGTACTACTAAATGCCAGGGACATAGTGAACAGAATACAAGTGGTCCTTGTCAGTGTGGAGCTTGTAGTCTAAAAGAAGGAGATAAATACGGGCAGTGTGTGTGGCTCAAGGACTAGGGTGCCAGCCCCATATGTTGGAGGTGGCGGGTTCAAACCCGGCTCTAGCCAAAAACCACAACAACAACAACAAAAAGGAGATAGATAGTAAACATGTTTACAGATGGAAATGTAATGTAGTGCTATGAAGAAAAAAGCAAGGTGCTTGGGGTTAGACAATTACTGTGGTCTCTTGACTGTTACATTTTGTATGGCTTCTGAATTGCCTGGCAGTGTAAGGTTGTAAAATTATTGTGCAAAGTCTAGATTTTGTCAGACTTGTAAATATATTTTTCTCTTGTTCCTGTCTCAGTAAAGAACCATGGAAGTAAAATTGAGCTTTTATGCTTTTGATTACAGGCTAATACTCCTGAGCTCAAGAAATCAGTGTCGCTGCTTTCTCTAAATACCCCAAACAGCACTCGCAAAAGACGTCGTTTAAAAGAGACACTTGCTCAGCTTTCCAGAGAGACAGATCTGTCACCTTTCCCTCCCCGTAAGCGCCCGTCAGCTGAACATTCCCTTTCTATAGGGTCACTCCTAGATATCTCCAATACACCAGAATCTAGCATTAACTGTGGAGGTAATTCACATTTTAAAATATTGATCTTTAAAATAGTGAGATGGAATAGTTGTTAGAATATAGGTATATCTCTACTACAATGAATGTGAAAGGCTTTACCGTTACCTTTGTTCTAGCTAAGGAAAAAAGACACATGAAAATAAGCATAATACATCAATTTAATGATTAGTTACTACATGCTAAGTACCTTATATATTTTGTGTATTTATAGTAGGGTTTTTTAATCCCTATTTTGCAGATAACTAAACTGAGGTACAGAGAAGTTAAGTAAGAAGTGTCCGGGGTCACATAGCTAGAGAGTGATGTAGCTGTTCAAAGAGCAGATTCTCATTCTGTTGCCCTGGCTAGAGTGCAGTGATGTCATCATAGCTCACTGCAGCCTCAAACTCCCAGGCTCAAGTGATCCTCTTGCCTCAGCCTCTGAAATAACTGGGGCTACGGGTATGTGCCATTGCACCTGGCTAATTTTTTTAGTTTTTGTAGAGACAAAGTCTTGCTATGTTTCCCAGGCTGGCCTTGAACTCCTGGTCTCAAACACTCTTTCTGCCTCTGCCTCCCAAAGTGTTAGGACTGTAGGTATGAGCCACCAGGCCTGGCTCGAAAAGTAAATTCTTAACACTAGCTAAGCAGAATCACAGTTGTCACATGACTTATAGAGAAAACAGAATGAAGTCAGAGAAGGACAAGTTAACTTTGTGCTGAACTGATACTGGAAGGGTTCTATAACTACTTTCTCTGTTGATTGTCACTATTTCCCTCTCGCTTCTTTTTGTCTGCAAACATATTTTCTAGATTTAAGAAACAAAAACTCAGAATTTCCCCTGACCCTTGACCCTCTGCTTACTGTCCCACTGTTTTTCTTTTTCATATCAGTAATCTTGATTGCCTTGACTCGTTGTCTCTTTTACTTGATTCTCACTGTCTGTTTAGCCCATCCTACTGAGCGGCAGTCTCTGCTATCAAATTCCTCTTTCTGGGAAGACAAGTTTTTAGCTGTTAACGTGCATAACACTGAGCATGTTTTCCCTCAGCTTTGTGATATTTTCCCTCGGCTTTGTGATACTGCTCACTGTTCATTCTCCTGTGCCTGCCTACCTTCTCTCTTCAACTCTAAGTGTTCCTCTGGAGTCATTGTTTCTTCTCTGTTGTATTCTCCCTAAAAATGATCTGTTGTTTCTAATTCTGCAGTTTTAAAAAACATTTATGTATTGATGACTCCCCAAATTTGTTTTCTTTCCTGTCCAACTGTCTACTTGATATCTTCTTGTCCATGTCTAACAGACATTTAAAATTAGCATAACCACATTAGAATTCTAGATTCTTTCTACTATTCCCAACTCCTCTGTTCCTTTGCCAACCTTTTAAAGAAAATAAGTCTTACATAAAAAGGATTACTTCTAGATGATTTGTAGTAGTCTATTAAATGTGATCTCTCCGTTTTAGTTTCTGCCTCTGCATGCACCATTTAAGTTAGATGACACCACTCTCTTTGCTTTAAGGTCATTCAGCGTGCTTTGTGTCACCGTGACATTTAAATCCCTGTGCAACCCTGCACTCATCTACCTCCCCTCGTGTGGTGGTATACACTCTAATAATACTTGTATTCTGTAAGTGTCTGTCATGCTGTCTCTGTTATTCTTCACATATTCTAGTACTTAGTACATCTGTACCTCAGGGCCTTTGTGCTTGCTCTCTCTTCTTCAGGGAAATTTACTGGGTTTTCTGTAAGGTTAACTTCCTCTTCTCCTTTTTCTTAGTCTGCCATTACCTGTTGATTTCTTCAGTAGCAGTTATCATTATTATATAAGTTGTATTTTTGTTTAATTATTAGTTGATTTGCTTCACTAGAATATAACCTTTAAGAGAACATGAACTTTGTCTATTTTATTCTCTTTATTCTCAGACCAGTCTGAGAATACAATGGGTCCTCACTAAATGTTCATGGAAAGAATTGAAAGTGAACTTAAAGTTGGTCCATAAAACTGAGATGAATTTGAAAATGTAAAGAGGAGCAAGGATACAGACCACAGCATACAAATTGAGTTTTTAGGAAATGATGGACAGGTCCGATTGCTCAGAGTAGAGAAGTAAGAGTTAAATAGGAAAGGTTACGAGCTGATACCAGATGACTTGAATATCCAATTGAATGAGATTTAGGAGCTCTTTGAGTAGCAGAGTAATTTGACTGAATATTTCTTGGGTGTTTGTTTTGAAGAGTGATCAGAAGGAAGGCAGTTTGAAAGCAGCCAGGCCAGGACATAGTCTGCCACAGTCGGCCTTTAGATAAGGCAGTGAACCAGGTAAGAAGCAATGGGGAAATAGTTTGGAGTAACAGGAAGGGAATAAGAGGAGATGAAGGCCCCTTTCATTAATTTAAATGAAAGAAATGTTGTGTTGGTATACATAGGAAGTTTATATTTTGGGGGAAGATAGCACAACATTAGAGAAATCCAGGTTATGTTAAGGTAGCGATGTACTTAGCCATTTAGAAAAGTTGACCCAGGTGCTGGGGATGGGGACAGTGATTAGGTAGTGTTGATCTGGAAATATGCTGGTTTCCATAATCATAACAGACAAGGGCATGGCATGATAAAAGCTGACCATGAAGAACTGAAGCTTTAACATGCATTTTAGGAGATAGGAGAAGAAAATAACCACTGAAGAAAACAGACATAATAACTATACTAATATATTATGTACTCAATAGAATCCTCAGTTTCTAGATCATGGCCTACACTGAATATAATTAAGTTAGCTCAGTGCATCTTAATTTTTTCTGCTGTAGTATTCATTACATAATATTCTGTAATGGCAGGGGCTTCTGGATATGGTAAGTGGAAATTTCTTTGAAGTCTGTTATCATTGAAAAACCGTCCAAAATGCTGTGGTACACAATTGTTTTTTTTCTTTTTTATAGTTTTTGGCTGGGGCTGGGTTTGAACTTGCTACCTCCGGCATATGGGGCCGGCGCCCTACTCCTTTGAGCCACAGGCGCCGCCCACACAATTGTTTTAATATAAAAATGTTTAAAATTATTTATCATTAAGTGAAATTGATAAGCTGCAGATATTGATTGTGTTTTTTTCATGTCATACATTCCTCTTTTCCTTTTCCTATTGAAAAGCTTGCAATTTGGAGATTTTCTACATAATGTTAAAGTACTGTAATTGTACTGATAGAAAGAAAATGTAAAAACCAAAAGCTTTTGTAATTAAAAATTTTTTTTCTTTCATAAAGGACATATAAAATATACCAATGTATCCTTTTTCCACTGTGGGTTGGACTGAATGTTTTATATTATGCTAAGATAATCCGAACTAATAGAGTTTTCAGTTAATTTTGGTTTTTGAGGGGACCTCCTGTGCATGTATATATACATATATATGAAAAGTTTTTCTGTTGTAATTAGTAATCATAATTCTTTTCTCCCCTTTTAAACTTAAGTATTTTTACAAGTTCCTTTAAAAAGAAATTTTTTTTTTGTTTTGGGTTTACCAAGATTCCTTCACCTTCTGCCCAGATTTCCTAAGTGGAAATACTGCACCATGTTTGCCTTAGCATTCATTCAGTCAAAATCTCTTTTTCTAAACTCACACATAAATGAATTTTTTCCATCTGTATTGTTCAAGAGTAAGTTGCAGATGTGGTGTGTGTTGGCTCTGACTACATTCCAATTACTATGGTGAGGAAGTTTGTATTAATACTATGAACTATTCTGTATATAGCCCATTTCACCAATTGTCCTACTAATGTCCTCATGTACTTTTTGTAAAAGAGAAAAGTTCTTTTTTTTGGGGGGGGAGTCTGGGATCCAATACTTGTCACACATTGTTGTATCATCTCTTCCTAGTTTCCTTCTAATCTGGAACAGTTGCTTAGTCCTTCTTTGTTTTTAATGACCTTGATATTTTTGAAGAGTACAGGCCATATATTTAGTAGAATGCCTATTAATTTCGAGTCATTGATTGTTATTTTTTGTTTGTTTTGAATCACCGATATTTTTGAGCTTTTTTTTTTTTAACCTTACCCTCAGAGGAAATTTTATTTTATTGGGAATGTATCTTGTGGTGGTATATTTATAAGATTAGGTTGTCTCCTCTCTCACTCTTTTATCCTAGTAAGTCTGTACAGCATTTGGTGTCTGTATGTGTCTTCCATTAAATCTTTTCTCCTTTTTACCTTTCAGAAACCCCAAAGTCTTGTACTAAGTCTTCTAAAAATTCCACTCCAGTTCCTTCAAAGCAGTCAGCTAGGTGGCAAGTTGCAAAGGAGCTCTATCAGACTGAAAGTAATTATGTAAATATACTGGCTACAATTATTCAGGTAAGTATGAGTTTAATGGTAACATGATGTTTGTTGTGGTGTTCCCTAAGTTTAAAAAAAAACTAAGTGATATTATCTCTCATAAGAATATTATGTGAGCATAGGTATTAAAAATGAAAATATATGACAAAAGGTGCTGTTAAGGGAACATTATAACTACAGTATTACCTTTTATTCATCTGGAAGAAGCACCATTTTAATTGTGACTTTAATGGGAAAATGGTCCCGAATAGATGATTTCATAGGGGATTGAGTTTAATTCAGAACTTTGACAGCTATCCTTGTCAAGGTAACTGCATTTTTATTTGGAAACGGCAGATAACTTCTACGTGTTCTACAGTCATTGCTTTATTTAGTACTGTATATTTGTGAAAGAAACAGTTGTTTAAAAATAGCAATGAAGCATAACAGTGTCAATGTTAGTGATTTTTGTACTAATCCTTCATGGGACATAATGAAGTAAAGAGTGGTTAGTCATAAATAAATGTTAACTCATTGATTACCAATATTAAAATGTACTATGAGGTTATTTCTGAAGAAAAATCAATCTAATGAATAATCTTTGTAGGACAAGATCGAAGACGATACTGAAAGATAATAATAGGGTATTATTTTGGTATCCACAGGAAGAAGGCATAAATGAAGGAGATAGTTTGGTATACTGTAAAGAAAATGAAGTTGAATACACTAAGCTTATCTATCAATAGAAAAACCAGATGGAGTTTCTATTTGGGTTTAGGTCTTTTTTTTTTAAGACTGTCTTTGTCCCCCAGGCTAAAGTGCAGTGGCCACTGCAGCCTCAAACTCCTAGCCTCAAGTCATCCTCCTGCCTCAGCCTCCTGAGTAACTACAGAGGTGTGCCACTATAGTCTGTAACTGGACTACAGAGGTGTGCCACTATACTCTGCTAAGTTTTCTATTTTTTTTAGAGACAAGGTCTTGCTCTTATTCTGGCTGGTCTTGAACTCCTGAGCTCAAGCAATCCACCTACCTTGGCTTCCCACACTGCTAGGATTATAGGTGTGAGCCACTATACCTTGTCTTGGGTTTAGTTTTTAACTGACCTTTATTTGAATTCTTAAAATAACTCATTTGGGTCCAGTCTAATAGCCTTTAGTTGAGTGTACTATTGATAAAATGCATAGATAAGAAATGGGAAAACTTCTTTCTTGGCAAGAGGTTATTTTTCACAGTTAATCTTTTTAGTGGCAGTCAGGGTATTTATAAGGTCCTGTTTTGTATTAGACTCTACTTGTTTTAAGTCAGGTTTGTTCTCTTTCTCAAGGGAAGTCATCCTAGATGAGTTTCTTTTTTTCTTTTTTATTTTTTTGAGATAAAGAGTCTCCCTTTGTTGCCCGGGGTAGAGTGCTGTGGCGTCACAGCTCACAGCAACCTCAAACTCTTGGGCTCAAGTGATTCTCTTGCCTCAGCCTCCCAAGTAGCTGAGATTAAAGGTACCTGCCACAACACCTGTCTATTTTTAGAGATGAGGTCTCACTCTGGCTCAAGCTGGTCTCAAACCCATGAGCTCAGGCGATTTGCCCGCCTCAGTCTCCCAGAATGCTAGAATTATAGGTGTGAGCCACCACACCTGGCTTCTAGATGAATTTTTTGTTGAAGTTTTTATGTGAGCCAGAATATGGTTAAGTAATGGAAAGTCTCTTTGGGAGATACTATTCATGCACTTTGATAGCATGTACTGCCTAGAAATGTCAGTCTTTTCAGGCCATGGTAAAAGGGCATTGAAGTTTTAGGATTCTAATTTGTACATCAGTTAAGTTCACTAAAACTCCTTTGAAAAAGCTCACGAAATTATTAGACTGGAGATAAACTTCCATACCTCATTGCTGAGCGAAAGGATTTCTTTAAAGGATTGTGGCCCAGACTGATAATAGTGTTCTTTTTAAAGAGCTTTGTTTAGGACTGATGTTTTCTTTTTTTGGAATTGGATTAAGAATTACTTAATTTTAACTTATTCCCCCACATTGACTATCCTAAAAATTTTTTATTTATTCCATGTAATATTCAGGTGCTCAGTTACTGTGCCAGTATTAAAGAAAATTCCTGTTTTAAAGAAGCTTAGCTTATAAGAGGAGATAAAACAACATAAGGTCAGATAATTAAGTTTATGAGCTAACCAAGCAAAAGTGCTGCACACCTCATTGCTGAATGTCCCTATGGTCAGCTTTAAAGCACTCCCCTTGGGGAGCCATGCACTGATGCCAGAGGCTAGTCCACCTTTCACAGCACTTTTTCTAGGACGAGTTTGCGAACTTAATTGTCAGGCCTTGTATGATGGCAACTCTGATAGCCACTCCAGGAAAAGAGTTGCAAAGTTGCTTTGAAGGGTGGACGAGGTGCTGACGTTGGTGCATCGTTTCTCAAGGGGAGTACTTCAAAGACGACCATAGTGATATTCAGAAATGAGGTGTGTACATGTAGCACTTTCCCCAGCATGAGTTTGCAAACTTAATCGCCCAACCTTGTACATGTTTCATTATAATACCAAATGGGAGATTATAAGCATCATTAGGGAGGTTTAGTTATGGTGTTAGGTTTGTGAGATAAGTTTTACTATTCTTTCAGCTTAGGGAAGGAGTTGGGCTAGAATTGTCTATGGATTGTACAATAGAAAAAGTATCATAAAGTAACAATTGAAGTGAGTTTTAAGATGTTAAGTATGATTGGTACATATAAGGAATATAGGTGGGATGTCTGTTTGAGATTGGGTAAACAATATAGGTGATCAAAGAGGTGTGTCATTCAAGGTACTGTGAGTAGTGAGAGTGGGGTAGGTGTATGGGTTCAGTGATTGTTGAGATAGGACTGCCTGTGCAGGACAAAAAGAGGCTGTTTGGTGTGCTATGCTGTCTGTAAATATAGAAAAAATTTTAAATGGGAAGGAGCGTCAAGCAAGCATCATTTGACTTACATTTCAGAAAGATAACTTGATTCACTTTGAAGGGGTATTTTGAACAGCAGAAATAGGGGAGGGAAAGAGACCAATATGGAGGCTGTTTCAGCAGTCTTTATGAGAGATTTTGAGGCTCTGAACTGTCTAGGATAGTACATAGTATCAGTGAAAATGAAAAGAGGATAGATTTGAGTAGTTAGTATTGGAAAGGTAGAATCATACCCCTAATTTTATATGGGGTATGAAAGCAAACACAGCAGAATTGTTTTAGAATAGTTCAACATATCTTAAGGGTACTGAGAGGTTTAAATGATCCTCATTGTATTTTGATTATCTCAATATTTTTGTGTAGGATTTTTAATAAACACTACATAAAGGAATGCTTACAAATTATCACAAATATCTTTGAAAACTCTATCGTATTTTTCTTCAATCCTATATTCTTTTTTCTCCTCTCAGATAATTATTATCTGAAATTTTATCCTTATCATTTCTTTTATAGATCTGTCACATATGTGTGATATGCAAGCTATATCAATATAATCATATTTATGTATTTCAGTGACTTCCTTTTTTCACTTAATGTTCTTGTGGCTGGGTGTGGTGGTGCGTGTCTAAAATCCTGGCACTTTGGGAGGCAGAGATAGGAGGATCACTTGAGACCAGCTTCTTTGCAATACCCCATCTCTACACAACAAACATAAAAAAATTAAGAAAAGATTAGCTGGAGATGGTGGCACATTCCTGTAGTCCCAGTACTGGCTGGGCTGAGGCGGGAGAATCCCTTGAGCCCAGGAACTTGAGGCTGTCTATGGTGAGCTGTGATTGAATCACTGCCCTGTGATTGAACCACTGCTCTTTGGCCTTTGCAAAAGAATGAGACTGTCTTAAAAACAACAAACAAAAACCTAAGAAGAGATAAAGGACATTTGGATGGTTTTTAGTTTGGGTTGTGTATAGAGGCATTATAGACATTTGTATACAGATTTTATATGAACATAAGTTTTCATTTCCTTTGGGTAAATGCTTGGGAATGGGATTATTGGATCACATTGTAAGGACTGTTTAACTTTAAAAGAAATTGCCAGATGTTTTTTCAGACATGCTATCCATTTGGCATTTCCACCAATAATGTATGAGTTCCAGTTGCTCATGTTTTTAACAGTTCCTGAGGGTATTAGCCTTTTTTATTTTAGTTCTAATAGTTATATCTCATCATGGCTTTAGTTTTCACTTGCATAATTGATTTATTATTAGAAAATCTATTCTTGTCCTCATTTGCATATACATTTCTTTTTTTGTTGAAAAATGTATTCAAGTTTTTTGCTCTTTTTTTTAGTGGGTGGTTTCCTTCTGAGTTCTGAAAATTCTTTACACATTTTAGGTATTATCCTTTGTCATATGTGATTTGCAAATTTTATACATATATATTTCTTTTAATTTCAGATTAATATGAGGGTACAAATGTTTAGGTTACATTGTTTTCATTTCTAAAGTAAAGTTCAAGTTGTAGTTGGCCCTTCACCCAGGGGGTGTGCTGAACACCCTCCATGGTACATGTTAGGTGAGATTCCCCCAGCCCCCCCCTTTTTTCCCCCTTTTCCTCTGCCTTTTTTCTCCTCCCTCTCACTAGACTATACTTGTGTTTTTCTTTTGTGTGGGCATGTAGTTGTTTATATGTTAGTTTCATATTAGTATTGAGTACATTGGATACTTGCTTTTCCGTTCTTGTGATACTTTACTAAGAAGAATGTGTTTCAACTCCATCCAGCTAAACAAAAAATGTAAAGTCTCCATCTTTTCTAATGGCTGAATAAGTACTCCATGGTAATTGTATGCTATAGTTTGTTAATCCATTCAGGGCATCTTGGCAATTGTGAATTGAGCTGCAATAGACATTCTAGTGCAAATGTTCTTGTGGTAAAATGATTTTTGTTCTTCTGGGTAGATACCTAGTAATGGGATTGTGGGATCAAATGGAAGGTCCACATTTAGTTCTTTGAGAATTCTCCATACTTCTTTCCATAGAGGTTGTATTAGTTTGCAGTCCCACCAGCAGTGCAAAAGTGTTCCCTTCTCTCCACAT